ATGGTTTTTATTTAACGAACTATCGCGATAAATACCATCACACTGTAACAATCATAATATAAGCGTGTTGCACGCAAGGCACATATTATAATCGATTCACAAGTACAAGCAACATTATACTATTCTTCCCGCTAATTAAAAACTTTTTACACCTTTGAAAGTTTTTATCTACTCCCACATTCCCAAACTGTGACTTTATGGCGTTTAAGTCACAAGCTGAAGTTGGCTCCATTATAAATTGGGGAATAAGTAGGGTTAAATCCGTCTGACAGTTGTAAGATTTCAAATGTTTAACAAATGACATTCGCTTGAGAGTTGTCAGTAAAGTAAAATTTAAAAAAAACATTGACGTTCGATTAAATATGGTATGCGATTCGTTTTATAAACTTTTCAAGATCAATCATTTATTAAAAACTCACCCCGCAAGCTCCGCTCATGGATAATTAAACTTTTGTATTAAATCACGGGCTGGAGTTGGTATTGTTAAATTTGGAAAAAAGTGGGATTAAAACCGTTTAACAGATGTCAGATTAGGAAAAGTGAGGTTAAAATCGCTTGATATATAAAATATTAACTAAAAACAATTTTTTTAATAATTCAATTGATTAATTATCTAAAAACTTGTTTTTAAGCAACAATATATATATATATTAGGGTGGTCCTTATTTTGGCTTTTTTCGAATTTTTTTTCACGATAGTCCTAAATCCGTTCTAAATGTATAAAAAAAATTCCTGCCAAGTTACAGCTCTTAATTTTAATATTAACCTGGCCCCCCCGGCAGCCAAAGTTTTAAATGGAAATAACATGCAAAAAGTAGGTTTTGCTCTTTGTAATTTTTTATCTTGTTTACATATTAATTAACAATAATTTAAAATATATATTCTTATAGAAAATTTACCGCTCTACAAAAAAGGTCTCTTATGATTTTTTGCTAAACCTACTAGTTCAAAAGATATTCCAGGTCAAAGTTCAATTTATAATTAATTTCACAGTTTTGGTCATTTTCACTAGGAAATAGCGCTTTAAAATGAAAAACATAGTATATTTTATAAACTGTATATTATTTGCTTTAATAAAACATCAAAATTTTCTAGAAATCATCAATTCATTCAATGGTAGTATGATTTTAACATAGGTTTATTTATGAAATTTGACATAAGTTTAAAATAGTTTTCAAATTTCAGAGTATCATAAGCTATTTTAGAGACGAAAGCCCTTTAAAAAAAATTGACATGAAGAATTGGCACAAATATTATAGAAAATATTAGTATAAATATATTTTTTTATTTTAAATCAAAATTGATTTATACCATCTTCAAAATAATTATTACATTACATATTTGTTTTTTTCAACGAGTCTGGAAATCGTTCTCTATGATCTTTAACTAGTTGTAATACATATTGCAATTGTTTTTCATCTTTAGTATAATATCTAGAAAAATCTTGCACTAATTTAACTCCTCTTTCAGCACAATCATTTACAACTGACAGTGTCTTCACAAACTCAGTGATGTAATGTATCGAGATACATGTATCTAGATACTGGATCTAGATACATTTTATGTACCTAGATACGTATCGAGATACTTAAAAAAATCAGGATCTACTTTAGTATCTAGATCCTTTTAAAAGTATCTAGATCCTTAGATACAAGATACATTTTATTTTACCCAACCTGATTGCAACTCCACACCGTGTGGGCCACACGGAAAATGAACATCCAATGGATATACTCTATGGATATCCAGGATATATACCTACATTGGATATTCTTGATATCTCCCGTAAGAGATGAACAATACGAAAACCGTAGTGCTGTTTATAGTTGGCTTTGAAGGCATTTTTCTTCGTTCTGATAATTTTGAATTTGTACTACAAATTTTGTAGTAAGCTTTCATATGGCGCGTAAATATAAAATTTATTTCCGTTTTTCATGGATATGTCGTCAATTTTATCAAAACAGTTTTATTTTATAGTTAACACGCTTGTTTATAAGGTCCGAAATTTTTTTTTTGTCATTTAATTTTTAAGTTTTTTTAACATAGTATCTGGAAGTAACTTAGATACTTTTTGAATGTATCTGTATCTGTACCCAGATACTTTTGGGAAAATGTATCGGTATCTGTACCCAGATACATCTACCAGAGAGTATCTGTATCGGTACCTAGATACTGAAAAAAATGTATCGGTTACATCACTGCACAAACTGTCGTCTCTAAAATAGCTTATGATACTCTGAAATTTGAAAACTATTTCAAACTTATGTCAAATTTCATGAATAAACCTATGTTAAAATCATACTACCATTGAATAATTGATGATTTCTAGAAAATTTTGATATTTTATTAAAGCAAATAATATACAGTTTATAAAATATACTATGTTTTTCATTTAAAAGCGCTATTTCCCAGTGAAAATGAGCAAAACTGTGAAATTAATTATAAATTGAACTTTGACCTGGAATATCTTTCGAACTAGTAGGTTTAGCGAAAAATCATAAGAAACCCTTTTAGTAGAGCGGTAAATTTTCTATAAGAATATATATATTAAATTATTGTTAATTAATATGTAAACAAGATAAAAAATTACAAAGAGCAAAACCTACTTTTTACATGTTATTTCCATTTAAAACTTTGGCTGCCGGGGGGGCCAGGTTAATATTAAAATTAAGAGCTGTAACTTGGCAGGAATTTTTTTTTATACATTTGGAACGGATTTAGCCCTATCGTGAAAAAAAATTCGAAAGAAGCCAAAATAAGGACCACCCTAATATATATATATATATTATAAATGTATATATATATATATATTAATATATATATATATACATTAGACTGGGCCAAAAAAATCAACTATTTTTTTTTTTTTTAAAGTATATCGAAAATATGGTTTGGGTTGACAAAAAAAAATTATTGTGAAAGTTTGAGTCCATAATATTAATATTAAGAGGTCTATCATCGCAATTTTAATTTTTTTTTCCTCAGCAAGTTTTAGGCTCAGAACTCCCAAACCATTGAGTTTAACAAAATTGACTTGAAAATATTTTTTTTTTAAATTAAATGCTCTACAAAAAAGGTTAAAGTGAAATTTTCCGTCAGATGAACCGTTTCCTTAAAATCATGCCTTAAAAATTGGTATAGTTTTACATTTTGATCTTTTAAATTGGAATTTTGTAATTCATGTAAAAATTAGTACCCATAAAAAACCGATAAATATTCTTATGGAAAATCAAATGCTTTACAAAAAAAGCCTCTTAACATTTTTGGCTAAATTCACTCAATCAAAAGTTATTCAAGGTTAAAATTTCGTTTTGACTTCAAATTTAACCTTGAAAAACTTTTAATGGAGTGAATTTAGCCAAAAATGATAAAAGACTTTTTTTGTAGAGCATTTGATTTCCCATAAGAATATTTATCGTTTTTTTCAGGGTACTGATTTTTACTTGAATTACAAAATTCCAAAGTTAAAAGATCAAATTGTAAAACTATACCAATGTTTAAGGCATGATTGTAAGAAAAGGGTTCATCTGACGGGAAATTCCAATCAAACCTTTTTTGTAGAGCATTCATTTTTCTTCAAAAAATATTCTAAAGTCAATTTTGTTAAACTCAATGATTTGGGAGTTCTGAGACAAAAACTCGCTCAGTAAAAAAAATCTAAAATTTCGATGATAGACCTCTTAATATTAATATTATGGACTCAAACTTTCACCATAATTTTTTTTTGTCACCCCAAACAATATTTTCGATATTTTTTTCAAAAAAAAAATAGTCGATTTTTTTTGGCCCAGTCTAATATACATTTAATTACCTATATGTATATATACATTTGTTTGCGACTCACCCCTCATAAAATCTTTAGAATTAGAAAAAGGTTATAATTACATTAAATAATGGTTAATCTTAAATTGCCATGAGTGGGCCCTTTGATTTAAAAAATTAAATTATAAGCAAGTTCAAATATAAGTAAACTTATAAGTTAGCAGGAAAAAGCTGTAACCAATTTTCATATCCCTGATTACATTAAGAGTGTTAAGAAGTTAAACATGAAAAAAACATTAAATAAAATTAAACCAATAGTAACATGGTTTAAATATTCCTATGCTTAAACTTGAAAAAACAATAATAAAAATAGAGAATTCAAAAAAATCGCTATAATTAGATTTTTGCTACCTATACTGCACAAGGAGCCTGCGCGGCCATTACTCCAGAACAAGATTTATATTATATAAATTATATATAATATGAATATTATAATATATGAATATGAAAGTGTATTATAAATGGTCGATTAGTAGGTACAAGTTTCTATTTTTTGTTTCATTGTTGTTTTAAGTTTCTATTGCGTTTTTTATTTGTCAAAACTAAGCATAGGAATATTTATGTCATGTTACTATTAGTTTAATTTTATTAATTTTTTTTTCATGAATTTCAATTTTTTTTATTGGCCATTACCCGGGTAACTTGATAATAATTTTTGTAAATATAATAGCAATTATTGTGCATTTTTAGTTTAGCTTCAAATAGCTACAAAATTGTTCCTACTTACTAAATTTTTCAATAAAATTTTGTATAAGGTCGATTTTAAAGGGTGGTGAATCCAGAGCCGTACATGGATTTAAAAAAATCGCTAATTCTTAAAAATTTACTCTTAAAATCTGACATAGCAGACCTTGCATTTTGTAAAAATATGGTGTTTTTTGCTTAAGAATAGTTTATCAAGATCTACACTTTAAGACAAATCCGGTTAAAATCGCACAATAAATAAAGATGGGTGAGTCGCAAACAAATGGGTCACACTGTATATTATTAAAAAATCTTGAAGCACCTGTAATAAATAAAATATAACAAAAATTTATTAAAACAAAACTTTAATTTTTAATAAACCAGACATAATAAAAATATAAGTAGGTAAACATACATACATAAAAAGCAATTTAAAAATAATTAGAATTAAAATAAAAAAAAAATTAAAATAAAATCAATTTACAATAATGGCTAGGCACTTAGGTATTGTATTTGTATAAGAATGGGTAAAGTTTATCTAAAGGAACTGTTTCCCTTAACTGTTCTGACAAGGTTAAACTATTTGGAACTAAACCGTTTTCCAACTCATAGTGACTAGGGAAAAGGTATTGGTGTTTAACTAAAAAAGTGTACTTTAATTTTTTACCCCGACTAATTTTGTTGACATTTTTCTTAATCAAGCTATTCACCTGGCACTCTTTTATTAATTTCTCACTTAAATCAGTCACATTTAAATTGTTCTCACACAAACCAATTCGTATCCGTAGAGTTTTAAGATTTGTATCAATAAAATCAACAATGGCAACAGTGGATGCACTTTTAACCAATTCGGAGAGTCTGTTTATTTCTTCCTGTTGCCACATTACATGTTTTGGTTTTATATTCCACAAGCTGGCTCTGACACAAAAACATGGCAACTTTAACATGGATTCTTTCAGCTGAAATATATTTTCAGTGGTGACAGAAGCTAAAGAACCAAAATCTATGAGAAATACTTTTATCCCAACAACACCCGATGTTGTAAGCGAAATCTGTTTCACTAAAGCTCTATAGAAAGCTCCATCAACATAAACTGTACAATACAATCCTTTTTGTATTTTTTCCTCGGCCAAACTCCAGTCCTTATAACTTTTGTGGTAAAATTGATTCATCACCTTAAAAAATAAATTCAGTTCCCTGTGTTTTGTTACAATCCATATTACACTCGGGCTGTAAATATGAGACACTTTAACATCGTAGGTTTTACCACAAACCCATGTTTCTTTGTCGAAAAAATCCGGTATCTTTAAATCCTCAATTTTTTTATTTATGTCTAAAACAAAAACAAAACATTGTTAACCTTTTTTGTGTACAGTTTATTATTGACTGTCATTTGTTTTACTTACGTTTCAAGTAATGTCTTGCGGCCATTTTAGTTGTTTTGCATTATGTTTGTCTATTAGTTTTAGTAAAATCAATTAAAAACTGAAAATACAAAGAAATTTGTTTTAAAAAAGTAAGGTTAAGGAAACGTGGGCGATTTGAACTATGCGGTGTTGCCTGATGTGATATTGTTTTCCAGGTGTAATGAATAAGTTTTGGGTAATTTTAAGACTAAAAAATAGGTAGTTTAAGCAACAATTTATAAAAAATAACTTTTTGAAATGGTTTTTAAATACAGGGTGTGATTTTTAACTCAAATAAATAAATACATCAAAATATCAAATAAAATATCTTAATAAAATCATAATAGGTATAGGTATCTAAAGTTGTTTAATCTTGTCTTTTTGTATATTTTTAAAAGTAACTTATAGAAATTTTATTAAATTGTAATTCTAATATTATATATTTAATTTATTTTGTAAAATCGTTTCCTAATTTTTTTATTTTTTCGGTATTTTTTTGCAATTAAACCATTGAGTAATCTTTACTCAATGATTAAACACAAAAAAATATAAACAAAAAAAAATTAAACAAATTTGTTAAAACATTCATTTGGAAAAGAAAGTTTGCCATAATTTTTTTGTATTAATAAAAATAAACTAAAAAAAATAAAAAAAATATAATTTTGGTCTTGATGCATTTTTATTATCTAATAAAAAACAAAATAAGAAATCCATACCTTCTGGACACTTATAAAAATATGAAGTTATTTCGAAATTTTAATTTTTTTTATTTCTATGCCTGTGTTTCTAATAAAAAACAAAATAAGAAATCCATACCTTCTGGACACTTATAAAAATATGAAGTTATTTCGAAATTTTAATTTTTTTTATTTCTATGCCTGTGTTTCTACTTAAAATGGACAAAGATTTGGATTACATCGCGACTAACACTTTTTTTAAATAAATATTTTTCATCCGAAATAGGCAGTAAAGTAGTTAAAAATTGGCATTAAAGTAAAAGAAATAAAGTAAAGTTCTACTTTACTGCCGATTTAATGCGAGTATTGTATGCAACCCATTATACATTTTAAGATGTGTCTACTGCTCCTCAGCAGCAACTAAAAAAAGGTCGATTGGACCTTTTCATAAAATGTTGTTTAATAAAAATAATAAGTTAATTTTATAAATTATATAAAAAAATCGCCGCGGCGGGCAAACAAACAGTAAACGTAGACACTTCCTACATTCAAATGACATTTGATTTGTTCATCAAATCTCATTTGATTTAATCATCAATATTAATTATTAGTATTATTAAATGAGATTTCGGATAAAATTTAATATGCACCTCGGCATTAAAGTCATTTTTTATCACTCACGTGGTTATTTGCCTCGGCTTTCGCCTCGGCGCTTTTGTTTTCATATTATCGACCTTCTTTTTATCTCAGTCTTTATAGTCGATTAAAAAAAAAAAAAAGTTTTTTGCAATTGTCAGTTAAATAATTTTTGCCAACCAACAAAGATAAAGAGGTTTATGTAAAAATAAAAGAATGTCGATAATTCAAAAAAAGCTCTATTACGTTGTCTATCTTAAGTAAAAACATCCTGTAAGTATATTAAGCTCGACCTATGATAGGTCGAGCTAAATATACTTAAAGCAAAATAAGGATTCCTTATATTCTTATAAGTCAAGCTTATAAGGGATTTTTCGAGTAAGGGGACCTTGGATCTGGAGTAGTTTTTGCACTAGGTTTTTAGCCTTATAAGAATCCTTATTATTCCGTTTTTTATAAGGTTCTACTTTACTGGGGGTTTAGCAAGTCCATGCAAGATCTTTTAGACGAGTTTTTGTATGACATCAGAGGCGTACGCAGAAAACATTTTCGGTTTTTGGTTTTCACAGGTTTTTTGAAAATACTTTTTATGTATTTTGTAGACATATTTTTATAAAAGATTTTTATTATAGGTAAGACATGTTTTTGAGTAATATAAAAACTTGGAAATGGACATCTTTTGAAAATATCCATATTTTGAATTGACCAAATATGTCTTTAAATTATCTTTAGAATGATTTTCTTTGATGTATCCTAAAAAATGGATTTTAAGTGGTATAGACATCTCAAAGACAATTAAAAAACCAATTAAACGAGTCATCCTAGATAACATAGATAACTAAAACAAACAAATAAATACAATAAACACTAACTAAAAAATTCATGGTAAATCCTATCGGTATTAGCTTATCCTAGTCATTCAAAATGTAAAAGATAATAATTATTAAGGTAATTAAAAGTCTCGATATCGGTTGTATAGGTAAACAGCAACCGACCAGTATACTAATAATAATAATTCTACAGTGGATATTCCCACTTCACTTCAAGCAGTCGGTGTGGTGTATTCGCGATCACATGGTTTCGTTTGTGAACGCGTTTTTTAGTTACCAGCTACCTGTCACATGGTTGCAGCCTTCGCGCGGCCGCGAATGTCTCAGGTTTTAAATACGGGACCGTGAAAAAGTGCAACACTCACTATATAGGATTAACCACTGTGTCTGTGTGTATATTATATGTGCAAAAATGTGCCATCGTGGTGGATGCAATGTAGTAAAAAGTGTAAGATATCTACCACTACAACGAAAGCCTGCAATTTTATAAAATCAACAAAATCGATTAACACGTGTACAAAAAAAAATTTAATATACACTGTGTTTACTTAAACATTTTATTCATTTAGAACATACTAATTCACATTTTATTATGATTAAAGATACGTGAAAATATACATTATACAGTGAGCAACTAAATTAAAAAAAATACAAAATTTATAAAAAATCGAAATTAAAAGTGTTTTTTAGATGTAGTCGCTATAGCAAGATAAAAATTGTTTACCCCCTCAAAAACACCCTGTACTATATTTCGCAAGAAATATGCCATCAACTTGTAGCAGTTACCTATTATTAAAGGGGATGCTTTATAAGATAAAAAATAATGATTTTTGACTTAAAAAAAATTAATAAAATTTATTGGAAATGAGAAAGTTGGTATGCCTATGTACATATAAATAAAAATGTAATATTTAAAGAAATTCTTTTGGCTTTATTATATCTTTTATTATATTATTTTTATTATATCTTTTATTATATCTCAGACCCTGGACAAAACCTGTCCTAGGATCAAAAACCGCAATTTTTTTAGTGTTAAAACTGCATTTCGCAAAAAACGATAAAATAACAAACATGACGCGCGATGCGTGATAAAATCGGAATCAATAAACTTTATGCATAATTTTTACGTTTGCCAATAAAACAAACATAATTAATTATTTCGATTACAAAATTCACTAATTCAATTTTAATATGAATTCCATGTTTGCATCAAAAGCATCAAGGATTTAATGTTTATTAACATTATTATTGTTGATTTAACTTGGATTATAATTTTGAAATTAGTATTTTATAATATAAAAGTAGTTTTTAACTCTAGTACCTACACGATTTGTTCTGCATTCTTTAATAATTGTGTTTTTAAATACTATATAAATAGCAAGAACTTTTAAACGACCTTAAGAAAAGTATAAGTATATATATAGAATACAATTTTATATAATAATTTAAGAAAAAACTAAAATTAACAATAACAATGGATTTATACCTAATTGCTTGTTTAAAGTGTTTAGACGTTTTTTATCTAAATAAAGTGAAGGACATTCCATGAGAATTTTTCTTAATAATAATAGATTAATCATTTTAACAGATAGTTAAAGTTTTAAAATCGCCATAATAAAAAATCATTTTGACAATATTTTCCTGTTTACCCTGGCTGTATCGTAAAACGCGTCTAAAAATAAAAATATTAATATCAATTGGCAATAAATTTTCGAGAGGTTTTCGAAAAGGTGGCGCCGATAATATATCCAAATAGTGGTGCGCCATGGTTGTCGACGCGCCAAAATTAGACGTTCCCGAAATACACGCATGTCATTCAAATTTACATATTTTCTCTATATGACTTGCCAACGTATGTAGAAAACTAATTTTAAGAACAAAGTTAAACCTCATAATTAGCTTTGAAGCATTATAATGAGTATACTCTTTTATTTAAGTAAAAACTGTTGCACCCTGTATACAAGGGGTCATATAGTTTTACAATAGACTAGCTTTTGTCAATTAAACTTGTTTATTTTCTAAATGTATCAAAACCCGTTAAAAATTGTTGCTTTTGCAATAAAACTTTCGACAACAAATGTACAGTTTTATAGTACATTAATAATAAGTAAAAAAATTACAATTAGTTTAGAAACACTTTGTTGCCATTGACTTTATTTTTATTACATAAAATGAAAGTGGATTAAATATTTGTTATAAATTTATTTAATATTGTAAAACTATACATCAATAGTGCAGATAGAGAAAGTACGGTATTAATTTACATAATTTTTTGTTGTTTTGATATCCATAAGATGTAATTATATGTTTTTTTTTAATATAATGGGATTAAGATTAGGATTATATTTCCTAATTTTTACACTTAAAATTTATCGATCTTATTTTATCTTAAAATAATTATTGATACTACAGATATCATATAAAATTGCAGGCTTTGTCACGAATAAATTCTCAGTGCCAAGTTAGAGTTTAAAATGGTGCCCGAAGATGCTTGTGATAATGAAATCAGCCAAATATTAAGTAATACTACTACTACTAATAAATGGATACCAGATGATAGCAGCAATAAATGTGATATTAGCGAAAATAATAATACAAATTTTGTTAGAGGTATTCTTGATGATATTTTTGATAGTGCTGTACCAAAAGAAATAGTTTTTAAAGTGCCTAAAATGAGAGATAGAAATATGGAAAAGGAGGATTTGGAGAGGCGTAAATCCAATAGAGGTGCCAGTTTGTATATAAATAACAATAACACAGTGGAGACGTTCAACGATTTTATTATACCACACAGACGTGCCATCAGCGAATGCATCATCGATGAAAACGACAACAACGATTTTAGACAAATATACGACAATAAGTCGAACCTGCATCCGAAAACGGTGAAAAAGGTCAAAGACTACACTAAGAAACGAAAGTTTTCCTTCTCACTGTTCCACAAAAAAGACAAACCTCACAGGGATCATATAGATGAAGAGCATCCGGAAAACTACGACGACTTTGATCCCTCGGAAAACGTCTTGAAACCTGAAATAAGCCACCTGAAAAAAGCCTTCTCCGCGATGGAGTTGAACCAAAAACCCACCAAGCTGCAGCGCACCAATTCCTTCATCAAAAAAATGGTGCACATAGGCGCCGAATCCACCAGCATTCTAAAACGCTCGCTGAGCGTGCGCGATGTGAAAAAAACTCAAAACAAAAAAGACTCGAAAACGCGTTGTGCCTCCGAGTCCAACGAAAAATGGCGCCAATCGTTGCAATCCCTCGTCGAAAGTGACATAGGTGTTAGCTACAACGACTTGAGTTTCATCAACTACGACGCCCTGAACAAGTTTAATTACGATGACGAGGACTACGGGTCCCATGTGTCCCTACTGGACAACAGTAACGATGGCAGGTACATCGGCCGAACGCAGAGCATGATTTGCAAGGTAAATTTATTGGGTTTAAATTTTTATCTATTTGTTTTTGGACAATATAATAAATTGTTTGCTTACACTCAGATAATAGTATTTTATGTGTAAAGTTTGATAAACGCTATTTTCTACACGAATTTAATTTAGGCGAGCTTGCTTAATTAAATGAGTGCCTAGAAAAGTTTATAAACGAGTTGCATACTATACTTTTTCTACGAAAAATACTCAATATTATCTAAAAAATGATTTAAATTAAATATTTGTATAAAGCGACATCTATACGAAAATGAAGTAACTAACCCAATAAACATTTTTGACGTAATTTTCACTATTAACATTGCCCGTTATTATTTTAATTAAACTTAACAATTATTGATACTTTAAAATATTAAATTAACTACAAAACATGATTATTGTAAGAAAATATGTTATCCTTTGATTTTTTTATTACTATAATTGGGTCAGAATTTCTCAAACGGGCCACCTGAATTAGGTCAAAATTAGTTTTTGATTGTAGATACATTTTTTCGATAGTATTTTACATCACTAACACAAATCCTAAAGGATTTTGTAAAAAAAAATTTTTCAATTGACATATTCATGATATTAAAAGTAAAAGTTTTTAGTAATTAAAAAATAAAAAAATTCATTTTGGCTGAACTAATTATCCGATTCCAACGATTTAACTAGCGTTGGAATCTTGTTTTGACATAGATTCTTTGTTATTTTTTTCAATTGTACAATTTTCATTAAGGTCGATTTTTTTTTGTTTTTTTTATACCAAATTCGGAAATAATTGCCTTCTGCGCCAGCTATCGACTCGAGAAAAAAAAACACATATACTCCAATCATTTCTCGAAATTATGCTGCTGAGAAAAAAAATGGCCCGCAGGTTGTCAAAAAGTTATTCGTCCTTTTTTGGCCGCGCGCGGCGTCAGCTCACGCTCCGAACCGTGTACGCTGTACGCGCTTGTGACGCGACGTCTTACGGTGGTCTGGAACCTGCGGGCCATTTTTTTTCTCAGCAGCATAATTTCGAAAAATGATTGGAGTATATGTGTTTTTTTTTCGAGTCGATAGCTGGCGCAGAAGCCAATTATTTCCGAATTTGTTATAAAAAAAACAAAAAAAAATCGACCTTAATGAAAATTGTACAATTGAAAAAAATAACAAAGAATCTATGTCAAAACAAGATTCCAACGCTAGTTAAATCGTTGGAATCGGATAATTAGTTTAGCCATAATGATTTTTTTTTATTTTTTTATTACTAAAAACTTTTACTTTTAATATCATGAATATGTCAATTGAATTTTTTTTTTTACAAAATCCTTTAGGATTTGTGTTAGTGATGTAAAATACTATCGAAAAAATGTATCTACAATCAAAAACTAATTTTGACCTAATTCAGGTGGCCCGTTTGAGAAATTCTGACCCAATTGCAACATATTATCACAAATTCTTACACGTAAAATATTATTGGAATTCCCGTTAGAATTTCTAACTTCTCAAATTTTTCGGTGTAAATCAAAATTTATCCCTTGAAAATAGACTAAAAATCGATATAGAAGCAGTTTCTCACAGTAAAAGATAAGAATGTTTTATGGGTACTGTACGCAAAATTTTCAACGTTTAATCAGTTAAATCTAGTTAACTGCACTTCTACGGCGAAATCAAAAGGTACAAACGTTCATATTTTTTTTTCAGATATTGTCGTCAAGAAACCATTTAATACTTTTGAGATAATAAAATAATTTTCACATTTAGTAATATTTTACAAAAAAGGCACTATATTTTAACGATTGTATGACATTTGCATGATTAACTTAAAACTAACTTTAGCTTGTGACTAAAAACCTGTTGCTAACTTCAGCCCGTGACTAAAGCGCAATAAAGCCACAGCTTGTCAATGTGTATTTAAAAGGTCACTTAGTGTCATGGAAACATGTACGATAATGGGCGTTTAAAAGATGGGAGTAGAAAAACACATTTAATATTCTAGTGTGTTGCACTAGTGCATGCAATTGGGAAAAAGTGAGGTTAAACCCGTCCGACAGATGTCAGATTGGCAAAAATGAGGTTAAAACTTCTTGACAGTTATCAGATGTCAGATAAAATGCTCCGCAAGCTAGGCTCGTGCATAATTAAACTTGTTACTTAGGTAAATGACTTTTATAAAACTGGTTACAAAATGTACTAAATTTCTAATTTCTTACTTTAATTTGTTTATTAAACATTTCCTACCAGTACTATAATGAGATCCATTATGATACAAATTTATCGCGATAAAGATTTTTAACCAATGTAAATGCAATACACGGCAAAATGAACTAATAGAAATACGATACACGGCAATATCAACTACTTATTGCATTGGACATCTAACAGATGAAATAAGTTACTGTTTACATAGAATATTTTTAAAATCAGTAAAAAGGTACATAGTCGTAGACAAAATAGTGCACGCTATTTCCATTTAATGGGCTATTAAGACACACACTCATTATAACATTCGTCTTCGGCTTTTTTCATAGTTCTCATACTCATGTCTTAATAGTCGTCTTCATATCTTAATGGTCGTTGCATAATGTACTATTTTCTATTTGTTTACCATAATAACCACAGTACGATACATGGTAACAATACGATAAGCAAATATAATTTATAATTATTTTCTTCAAATTTTGACAATTAGAAAAAATAGTATAAAGAACTCATGTCATAAGACATTTTTTTCAAGCGTATGACAATTTTCATATTATAAAACGCATAAGCATATATAGAAAGACTTCATTATTGTACGCAGTTCAAAAGTTAAATTGTTATACACCGCTGTACAATAATGAAAATACTTAGGAAGAGTGGTTCCATTTATCGCGTTTAGCTCGAAATCAGCAAAGAAAATGTAAACTTAGAAACTGTACATTCATGTACTTAACCTATATTGTGCAAAAAAATTACGTCTTATATTAGTTCTTTTATATACTATTATAAAACTTGTTACGTAAGATACCCATTATAAATATAAAAGGGTCTAATAAAGGGTGTATCAATAAGAGCGCAAGATTTCAAAGTTTAGTAAAACATGGTTTTAAGTATTAAAGCATTGAAATATTTATTGATTTATAAAGTACACATTTGGAAATTATGTATAAAATAACACATCTGGTAAATGGCCACCACGGCTTAACTGGCACAAGCGTATTCTTTTGGCAAAATTTGCAATAACATTATTGAATACATGTGGCGGTATTTCGTTGATAGAGCGTCTAATTTCTGCTTTTAAGGCTTCGATGGTGGCGGGCTTGTTGGCATAAACTTGTGACTTCAAATAACCCCCCCACAGCCAAAAGTCCAAGGGTGTTAAATAGTGGTGAAAATGGGCCTAATCACTGAAAATGATTTTGTCCGCAAAATCGGCATTCACTTCTTGCTGCTCAAGGATCTAATTGGTGAACTCTCTTCGCTGTTCATGGTCTTTTGGCTGGAGTTGTTGAGTCAATTGGACTTTGTAGGCATGCAGATGCAAATCTTAAGTAAGAATTTGCTGAAGAGTGGCTTTTGTAATGTCCAATTCTTGGGCACGATGGCAAATCGACGTCTCTGGACTCTCGGCTCTGAAAGAGCTCGTGTTGTGTGTTTCACATCACTAACAGAAGCAGTGCTTTCAAATTTTTCGATTATTTTTTTCACAGTAGATGAATTAGGAAAATTATTTCGAAAAAATATTGGACGCCCTTTACGAATCGTGGCAATGAAACTTTCATCATTTTGAAAATAGTGTTTAACAATCAAGACGGGTTGTTCTATCGTGTAATGCTCCATATTTACAAACTCCCATCTGTCTCCTATCAATCTGTCATGTCATTAATCATGTGACATCATGGTTGCCAAACTGAGGCGAAATTCAAATCTTGCGCTCTTATTGATACACCCTTTATTAAACACAGCAAACTCCAACATTTTTTTTTGGTAAATTCTTTCAAATTAGTCAAAATACGAGTTGAATATATATTTTTCATATAAAAAATTAGTGAGCACTTTTAACGGAAATTTTTGTTTTTGTACTATTTATTTTATTGAAATAAATTATTTTTGGTAAATATACCCCAGGGTTTTACATGTTTTGTTAAATTTTACATGGTTTTTATGGTTTTTTGTAAAAGATAACAATTTTTGATTTAAACGTTTCAAAAAAAGCAGTTACCTATTGTTCAAAAAATTCTAACTTTATTATTTAAAAAGATGTGAGAGCGTTTTGAGGTTTTGAACATAAAAATAATAGGTTTACCTTGATTTTATTGCTTTAAGTCTTATTTTATAGATTAGGTCTACAGAATGTTCAAACAATGGTTTCATTAGGAATTACCTAATGGTTTATCTTATACAAAAATGCATTTTAGAATTTATGTGCAACAAATGTTTATCACAACAATTAATTGGTTAATTGATTGTTGTCTGTTGAAATCACACCATAGATAATGATTGACAGTTAAAATTCAATATTAAAATTTTGTCATTGCATTTCTGTTAAATACTGATTCGTATTCTTGTAGTGACTAGTACTTACTGAGTTTTGTGATATGTATGTTGTATTTGGAGAATGCTTAGAAAATGCATTTAGACTGTTGTGAGTGTCAATGTTATGTTATGTTATGTGGTGTTGGGTTATGTAACATAACCCAACACCACATAACATATGTTAATATTTGTTTAATTTTTCTTCATAGATTTAATCTATAATTTTTTATCTTAGTACTTTCACTTGGAATTATGAATTTTGGCGCATCCACTACATCTAAAAAAATGCAACTTTTCTTTTGTAGAGCCGATTTTGAAATATTTTTAGGTAGACCCAAACACAGTGGTCATGGGGCATCGCCCCCTATTTTATTTTTTTATTTACGTTATTGGGTATTTTGGTTCTATTCTTCATTTAATTTTACATAAAAAGATTCTTTTTTTTTCATATTTAACGCTGTAGAATCACACCCCAAGATTTTTGGATGAAATTCAGAAACACCCTGTCTAAATGACCATTCAACGTTTTATCACTATTTTCATATTTTTTTCTATACAAAATTAAAATATTTTAATGTTTCTTAATTGTTTTTTTGTATTTAATATAATTTTATAATTATCTTAATTTCTAATTTTATTAAAATTCTTGTAAATATGACATCTGCTATCGCAAAACATGTTATTTACATAAATTTAGAAAAAATCGTATTCATATAATTTTATTTACTACTATTAGTTTCACGTGTTCGCAATAATTTTATTTCTCCGGTTTTAATGATCTTCCAGACAGTTCAAACTATCAAGATTCGAACATGAATAAACTTTGTATTAAGAAATCGTATACATACTCGGAATATTTTGCGCCATTGCCAACAATTTCAAGAGCACACAAGTTGTTTTTTAAATATATTTTAAAAACCGCACAGATATATCAAAACCATTCGCTGTAAATTTTGATGAAAACATAAATTCAATTTAAAGTTAATAAAAAAATACAGTTTTACAAATAGCAAAAATTCCACAATATAAAAACATTTTCTGTTTATTTCAGAGTTCCCCAAAGCTGACAGCGAGACCTTCGTACTTGAGGACCGAGTCTTCCGTGGAATACAGCCAACCGGATTTGTGTGAGTAAATTAACGAACTTTTTTTTCGTACGCGATTGCCCCATATAATATATTATATCGTCGAAAATCGCGAATTTAATTAATTTGGCCCGGCACGGCGTTTTTTGCCGGGCGCGAACCCCCGCCATTAATAATTCCGTGTGCGTTTGTATCGGGCGCCTCCATTTAGTTTTAATTAAAGACAATTATTCAATGTGCCATTATATGTGAACAAACGAGAGAGCGGCATTCTCATTCACTAGATGCACGGAACGGATTATATCTCTCTGGTAGTACCAGACTGGTACCTAGATAGACACTTTGATATTATTAGATATTACAGAGTTTGATACATTTACCCAAGATTGGGATTGGAACAAAAAATTCTTATCTTCTAAAATGTTTACGAGAAATTTAAATTACTAACATTTTAATTTAATATTTACTTTTAGTTAGTCTAAAGTTTTAAATATTTTAGTTTTAAGTTATTTTAGATAGTTCTTGTAGTTTTCGAACATTTTGGATATTTTATAAAGACATTTTAGATAGTACTAAGGAACTTTAAAAACATTTTAGACAGTTTCAAGACAATTAAATCATTCTAGTTAGGTAGTTTTAGAATATTTTACTAAGTTGTAAGACATTTAGTGAAGAGACCTTTAAAATATTTTAGACATTTTAAGACATTGTACTAAGGTAATTTTAGAGAGTTTAAACAGTTTTAAGGCTTTAACTATCTATCTATCTATCTATAATAACTATAAGTTGTAAGATAGTTAAAACTATCTAAAAAGCCTTAAAACTGTCTAAACTCTTTAAAATTACCTTAGTACTAACTAAAACGTCTTAAAATGTCTTAAATATTTTAAAGGTACTTAAGGTATCTTAATAAACTTAAGATAGTTCTAAGGTAGTTTTAGAGAATTTTAGACAGATTTACAACATTTTAGATAGTACCAAGGTACTTGTAGACCATTGTAATCAGTTTTAAAAAATTTGATATAGTTTTTAAAATATTTTAAAACATTTTTTAAGACACTTTGGATGGTACTACGTTACTTTTAAAATAATTTAGACATTTTTAAGACATGTTAGATTATTAAGGTAGTTTTAGAAAATCTTAGTTTTAGACATCTTTAAGAAAGTAGGTACTGAGAGACTTTTTATTACCTAGACAGACTTAAAACATTTTAGATAGTACCAAGGTACTTGTAGAATTTTGTAGACAATTTAAGATAATATATTATATTAGATAGTGCTAAAGTAGATTTAAACATTTTAAAAGATACTGAGTTACTTTTCTAATAATTTAGACAGTTTTAATAGATAGTTTTAAGGTTGTTTTAGAACATTTAAGAAAGTCTTAGACATAAGAAATGTACTACCTTTATACAGTTTTATACCAATTTAAAAATTTAAAAAGTACCAAGGTACTTGTAGAACATTATAGACAATTTTAAGAAATTTTAGATAGTTCTAAAATATTTTAAAGGTACTGAGACATATTAGATAGACCCAAGGTAGTTTTAGAAAATCTTGGATGGATTTAGACATTTTAGAAAGTACTAAGGTACTTTTTATTACCTTTTAGACAGTATTAGACAGATCTAAAACATTTTAGATAATACCAATGTTAGAGTTTTAAGGCATATTAGATACTTCTAATATAGTTTTAGAACATTTTAAAATGGATTAGACAAAGACATTTTAGATAGTACCTACTTGTAGACAGTGTAAAGAAATAATAATTTAAACAGATTTAAGACATATTAGATAGTTCTAAGGTAGTTTTATAACATTTTAAAGAAATTTTAGACTACATTAAGGTACTTTTAAAATATTTTTGACAGTGTTAGGACATATTAGATAGTACTTGGGTACTTTTAGGACATTTACTACTAAGGAACTTTTAGAATATTTTAGACTGTTTTTAGACATTTTAAGTCATTTTAGATAGTATAAATTTTTACTTAAGGTATAATATTTTTGACAGTTTTATTTTATATAGTCATAAGAAGTACACTTCGCCGTAAGCAAAAGAATAATCTTGACATTTACAGTTAAAATTTACATTTATAGTAATGTTTCTAATAATGAGAGATTTTTGTAAAAAAAAATCCTAGTTATTTATGATCAAAAATGAATGCATAAACAGCTGCAGTCCAACGGCCGCAAGGATAATGATTAACTGACTATATTAATTTGTTTCTTCAGTTTTTTTTGGGAAATATTATAAATATTTCAAAATAACAAAAAAGATAACTGCATAAAACCCTCTCTATGCGCATTTCTATGGTACTATTGCCCCCACAAGTATAGTCATAATTTAGCCGACAATCGTTGAACTGATAATATTCGGGTTTTAAAAATAGACACGGTTTGGCAATGAAAACAAATTGACTTTGGTAATATCGCTCATGTTATTAACAAATTTATCGCGCAGGGTCTTAAAAATGACATAAAGATAAAATAAATTATTATCTAAAATAGTAATTACGGTACTTAGGTATACTTAAAGTTATTGTTATAAGCCCAATAACTATTTGTAATCTATTATTCATTTTAATTTTATGCTTACAAGTTTTAGTTGACTCTAAAAGTTTAAAATTTTGTTTGATATTTAGTTATAATTTTTTTATATTTTTAATAATAAAAACTACCTAGTTTGCATGATTTTTGTCTATAACTTTTTTTAACACCGCCCCCTCCAACGAGCGTCACAGTAGCTTGTGTGATAAACGACATGACGAAAGGTCGAGCAGGTAAGACGACCTTAAAAATTAAATGATAATAATGCAAAAAATCTCGTTAGCTACTGTGTCTGGCGTTGGAGGGAGGCGAGGCCACGCCCCATACGTTTCCCTATATTCGGTTTTACTCTGAACGGGCTGTATAACAAAACATATTGGTTTCAGTGTAGGTATATTGATAACAAAACTAATTACATGCGCGATGCCTGACAATTTTTGGAATCGATTCGTCCAAGCCAACTTGCATCAGGCAGGTATTGGGTAATAAATCAAGGTGTCGCTAATTTAAAGTTTCCGACCTTGGCTGGTCGAGGTGGCGGGCGGCGAATCGCCCTTTGAATGGACCCCCACATTGATCGTGCGATTTTGTTTTCAGCGCTTTCAGAGCAATCGGGTGCCACTTCATTACCCATCCTTTGTCATCTCAACAACCACGAGAATAATGGGGCTAATGTTCAAGAATCAAACAGTCCCACGCACCGATTGTTGTAAGTATCAATTTATGTTACCTAAGTTACTAGATAGTTCAACTCAAACTAACTCACATGCACTTTGCTATATGTAGTAGATAATGGAAATAAAATAGAAATATAAGTTCTAAAACTAAGTCTGCAATAGGCATTTAGTCTCCAAAAATAACTGAATTTCAGACGACTCCAAATAGTTCAAAATCCAGCATGCTGGTTACTTTGTTTTTATTTGTCGCGTCTAAACACCTTGCATTGGCGACTGTTCCGAGACAAAACAAAATAAATTCTCCGCAATGTGGCTGTCAAAATCGAACCAGAAACTCGTAAAACTGTCCCAGATCCGCTCGTGATTTCAGCAGGAACTTGAACCGATGTACAGTCAAGGAAAAAAGTAATGCACTGAGGTTGGTCTACATATTTTGCTGGATCCAAATTCGTCCCCATTACATCAGGTTCTGAAGAAATTCTTACCAAAAATATTCGATGTAATATTCCACCGCAAGCTGTTTTTTCTTAAAAAAAACTACCGAAAAAATATTCCGTCATGAACAAAATTCGTTTTTCTACTTTTGGGTTAGAATTTTTTAAAAATATGGCATGATGCCATCATGATGATAGAGTAATTTAGCGCATTAAAAACCTTCGGAAAGGTACAGTCTGATTACAACAGCAGAATGTTGGTTACATTTCGGAGACCCGTGCTATTATAACGCAGTTAAGAAAACTATGCATTGCTTTTTTCCTTGACGAACTAAACTCTCGCTTGTCGTGTTCATTCCCAGATTTATTGTTGTTTAATAAGCCAGCATTATTTATATGGTTTCTAGTAAAACTGTTAGGGGATAGTGGAAAGTCCAAGTTATAAATAAAAATGTTAAAAAGGAGATTGGTGGCTTTAAATTCAAGAAAATAGATACAAGTTCATACAAAATACCCATTTCAGAAGCCATCCTTTTAATTTTGAAAATTTAGCAAATTTTAAAAACAATAAATTATATAAAATTTTGAAAATATGTCCTACCATCTTTTTATAAATATACTACTCTCTTAAAATGAAATAGTCAAAATTCTACTATTTGAAATAGTACCAGCATTTTTTACTAATAAAATAGTAAAATTAGTCACCATCTTTGACTATTTCTGAGAGTTAAAAGTAACTAATTTCTTTAATCGTTTGCGGCCAGCAACAAAGTATTATTTGAATAGGCTCCATGGTTAAATGGCCCATAAAAACAAACAAAGATGCAAAAAATTTAGCTCAAAACAGCAACACAAATAATATATTCAACTTTAAAATATTATGAAAAATATTTATTGACAAATAAAATTGTTTTTTATAAGAGTGACTGATAGCCACATTGGTTATGACAACATCTTGACAAGCTTGACAAGTGACAAACCTAAGTTCAATCCCCGGCGGGGTCAAAACTTTTTTAAATTTAAATCTACTAATTTGACTATTTCATTCATTAGAATTTGACTTATTATTAGAGACTGCTTTTTCGCTATGACAATTAGTCAAATATGACTTATTATTAGTTATTTTTGACTAATTCATTTTTTAATTTTGTTTTACTGTGCAAATTTGTTTTACCGATTTGAAATTTATCCAACTTTGCGAATTTGTCCTACCATTTTTTAAATTTATTCTACTCTCCTTATATTTTTTTATGACACACGTTTTGGTTAATTTTTTTTTAGAAATAGCAAATATAATATTAAAACAAACCATATTAAACCTTGTTAAATTAATTAAAACATTATAATCGAATATAAAATTGAGTTTCCCTAAAATTGTACTGAAAACTTTTCTTTAATTTAAATAACATTTTTCTAAAATTAATACAAAATTATTGCATTTTTAACTTTTGAATAACATTTCAAAAGTTCTTTCTTCGAATTCATGTAATTATCATCAATATCCTCTTTTCATGACATTAAATATAATAAAATTGCCTAAAAATAAAAACCAAATAATATAAAATTTTGAAAATATGTCGTACCATTTTTTTATAAATATACTACTGTGCGAATTTTTTTTAACCAACTGCAAATTTGTCTTATCATTTTTTAAATTCATCCTACTGTGCGAGTTTGTCCTACCTTATTTATATTTTTGCATAATACACGTTTTTTTAGGAATAGCAAATATAATATTAAAACAAACCATATTAAACATTGTTAAATTAATTAAAACATTATAATCGATTATAATAACTGAGTTTTCCTAAAATTATACTTAAAACTCCTTAAAATGATTTTTTCATAAATTAATACAAAATTATTATTATCATTATTTTAAATTTTGAATAACATTTCAAAAGTTCTTTGTTCGAATTCAAGTAATTAAATAATATTATCAATATCCTATTTCATAACTCGATATTTTAACTTAATTTCCATGATATTAAATATAATAAAATCGCCTAAATATAACTTGCAAACACGCTGTTATAAATGTATCCTTTCAAGACGGAAACGGCATAAAAAACTGCCTATTAAATTAAATATTCGCTCCCAGAGGCTATTTAAGCGATAAGTAACATTCACTTCCATAATTCATTCTTCATAATAGATTTTTTAATTGTACCCTTTTTATGAATCCTTTATATTACACTGTTTAATGGAAAAAAATTATTGCGTAATGTTGATAAATAAATATTTTTTATATTATTCACCAAAAAAATTGTTTTCGCTTTATAAATTATAAACAAATAATTACAGGTTTCCTTAATTATGATAATAATTGGGTAAGAAAATCCACACAATCAGGGTAATTAATGTGGGGTTAAAAATTTTAAATTAGGGCGCAGAATAAAATTAAAAGCAAAATACATAAAGATATATTAAAATAAATGTAAAATAATAAAAATGAACTACTTACAAACAAACTAATTTGATTTTATACTAAACAATAAGTCAAGATGTCGAGTAGTCGGGTGACACTTCTGAAACTAAATAAAAAAAAATACCTGAGCAACTAATTTCTAGTATAATTGGTAGTTTTAATAATGATTATTGTATTTTTGAGAATATTCTTGATTTTCAATATTAATCTTGTTTATCAGTCAATCGATTATCTGGGAAATTCAACTAGCAGCCAAAAAGATACGCAAGACAAGTATATATATTTACATATACATTATAATGACAAACTCGCTAATGTAGAGTATAATTATTTGTGCACACGAGTACGAAGGGAAAACGCGCGACGTACCCACTCTAGACAATAGCACTAACTATAGTGAACGTGCAGTGAGTACCAAGGGATGACGCGCGAGGTACCCTGTCACCAGATAGTTAGCCCAAACCTAAAAGGTTTAAACACTGAAAAGACAGTGCCGTTTATCCTTAAATGCCTTAAGTCTATAAATAACCTTTTAAATGCTAGCTAATGAATGATTTCTAGTTTATTATCTATTTAGTTTTTATTTAATACTGTTAAATAATTTAATAGGTTTAGCCTGTATAAACCCTTAATAAATAATAGATAAATAAATAGAAACAATAGGTAAATGAATAATTTTAAAATGGTAATATTAAAAATAAAATTAGTACGCTCTGTGAGAAAACTCACCAAAATATTCAAACTTCTTAAATCATCCAAAACAAAGCACATAAAACAACACAAGTTACTTTAACAGGTCACTGCGACTTTTAGACTGATCTTATAGAAAATGCGCTTAATATTTGGGGTCGATTTGTTTATGAAAAGTATGAACGGTCTCTTCGAAGTATCAAGTTACCTAATCGGGCCGCCTTCGACGGCTTGCCGATAACGTAAACATTCGAATTCCTAAACCTCTAAATCAGTGTTCTTTGCCTGCGTATAATTTTAAAATTAATATAGTAATTTTATATAAGAATAAAATAACTCACTATTACAGTCGGCCATCCTGCAAATATCTCGTCCCGAGATCTTAGGAGTCTAAGGACTCATCCTCTTCGGAAGAAGTTAAAACGACTTCATCCTCTCCACTAGCACTGTCGGTATTATCGGAAACTCCTCCTGGTGTACACCATGGACGCATGTGATCTACAGCGATGATTTTCTCATATTTTTTTGATCGAAGAGTTCGGTGAGAATTGTTCATGTCCATTACTATGTATCGATCATTTGGTAGGACTGTTTTAACGACCATAGGACCACTGTATGGTGCTTTTAGTTTTTTGCTTGTACCTGTTGATTGGACTTGCTTGAGGATGACAACTAAATCACCTTCCTTATAATTGTGTGGTCTCTTCCTTTTCTTATCATAGTAGATCTTCTGTTTGGTTTGGGCAGATTTAATTTTTTGAGCGGCCTTCTCTCTTGCATTTATTAAATCTTCTAACATAGATGGTATTAGACTAACTTCGTCTTTTAATAGAACGTCGCTGCCATTTCGTGGAGTAAACCCGAACATTAACTGGCTGGGGGTTTTTCCGGTGCTTTTGTTAATAACATTGTTGATGGCGAATTGCACTGATCGAACTTGTGCGTCCCAAAGTTCTTCTTCTAGGGTAGCTGTTAATAGTGCACCGAGAATGGTTCTGTTGAGCCTTTCAACTTGTCCATTTGCTCTAGGAGTTGCCACAGCATTAACAATGTGCCGAATTTTATTTTGTTTACAAAATGAAATAAATTTCTTGCTCGTGAAGGAACTTCCTTGGTCAGATATTATAGCCTTTGGAGTACCGTAGGTTGCAAAGATATCCCTGAAATATTCCATTACATATTTGACTTTCGTACTCTTGACTGCATGTAAAAAGGCAAATTTGGTGAATGCATCTATACCAACGATTAGATAGCAGTTTCCTCTCTTGCTTTTCGGGAAAGGACCTAGGTGGTCTACATGAAAAGTATTTAGTGGATCTACACCTTTTGGTATTGGATGTAAAAATCCTTCTTTTTTCCCACTATTTCTTTTGTTATACAGGCATGGAATACAACAAGCAATGTATTGCTCCACATATTTCCTCATTCTGGGAAACCAATAGTTTTCGCATAACCTGTGCAGAGTCTTTTCCACTCCAAA